TATTTTAATAGACATTTACATTTTATTTTATGTATTTCTATATCTGTCTCCCATGCTTAGCTGTGCAGAATATGAAAATAGAAGAATGAAACCAGTTGAAACTGTTCTAAGAAGGGAGGAGGGAGAAAGAAGAAGTATGATAGAGGGGGTAAATCTACTTAGGATATAGTGTAAGCACACATGTAAATATCACAACATATCCCCCTGTACAATTGTTATACCCTAATAAATTTTTTAAGAGAAAAGGCTGAAAAAACGAACAAGATTTGTAGATCTATACAATTCTAGTGCTTAGCATTGTAAGAAATTAATAAGATAATGTTTTTTTATAAGAAAAAATCAATGAATGAACTAAAACTACAAAGTAGTATTTTACAGAAGGACAAGGAGGAGAGAAGTGTATATGTTCCTGGGGTCATGTGTGGATTTGAGGAGACTAAAGAGGTGGATTGGGTCTGATTATTGAATCCATAGCTATTATACTATTTTATTAAGCTTTTTAAATTCAACCTAAAAGCAACAATCAATTATTGAAAATCCTAAAGAATGATTACAATATCATGCTTTTACATTTTAGAGAGACACTACTGTATGAAATGATTTAATTATGAGCATAACAATTCTTGAGACTTCTGTCCACATCTCTTTAACCCACTTGAGATATCAACTTCAGAAAGTGTCTGTGTGGACTAAGAGATCCCCTTATCCTCTACCCAAGGGCAATCTCTTGTCTTTCTGATTTCTCACAGAAAGAATTTCAGAATTATATGATAATTAATACTCCCAAGACACGCACTGGTAAATTTGAGGTACTAATTGCTATAGAAATATCTCGGCTTTCTTTGCATGCTACTTGAACAATTTGGAGGTTTCTCTGCACAGTCTCTCAGGGAGTGGGATGGAACTCCAGTTCCCCTTGGTGGTAAGGAAGTAACTACTTGCTTAACTGTCTGTCCTTTCCTATGTCACTTTCCCACTCTCTTACCATGCTTCCTGGGGGCATCCTCCAAATGAATTGCTTATACTTAAACCTTTGTGCTTACTCTGGTAAGCTGTTGGAAAATCCAAACTAAATTAATTTTTTTATTTATCTTATCCCTAGAAGAAGGAAATCATAAGGAAATGTGACATCTTGTATCAAATGTATAAATATGATTGATATGAATAACTCAACAAAACATTATGGCTATCTAAAAAGTTTTCTTATAATTTGGAAATTCATGCTTATTTATTTGAGAATAAAAGCAAAAAACTGTTGATATAGTCATAGAATGGAACAAATAATGTCAAAGATGACCCATTTTTATACTGGACTGTAACACTTTGATAATAGTGAATTAAATTAATTTCAGACACATGCAAATAAATAACTATCAAAAAGTAATATTAAATTGAAAAAATAAAATTTCAGTAGAATTACATCAATATAAAGTTCAGAACATTGCAATCTGGTGTTCGAGGCACAAAAATATCAAGTAACATTCAAAACTCAGGAGAATGATGACTTCTAGGGGAGTGCAGGGTGTAAGATGAGGGCAGAATCTACTGGGAACCTCCACAAGCACTAACAGCCATTACTCTTTTCCTAAATGTGAATATTGGGACAGACATGTCCATTGTATCATAGTCTTTTATACTTAACGTTGTTTCTATCAATATTATTTTCTAATTGCTAAATATTTGATGCACACATATTTTTCTGACAGTTGAATTTTAACGGTGTCATTATATCAGTGAAACAAAAAACAATTTTTTAAACACTGCAATGTAAAAGGTAGAAATGATAAATAATAGGTTAGGTTGTTTCTCATCAATTTAGCATTCCAATAGTTACAGGCATCATTGTCCTTCAACCCTCAGTGGACTTGTACAACATATAGTAATAGGATAAGGCTTTTCTCTTAACTTAAATAATAATTTTTGTAAAGACAGAATCAGAATAATGACCAAAATATTTCAGGATGATTGAAAATATTCATTTCTGATTTGTCATTGACTAATTTCAACCTATTTGATATAGAACAAATTGTCAGGATCTCAGGGAGAGCAGGAAATGAGAACAGGCTTTAGTCCCTTGAATATCCTTTGTAAATCTCTCTCCACAATCTTCCCTATGCCGTGTCAGCAGCATCACATCAGTTTTGCTTCTAGTGATGATGTTGGTGTCATAGGTTCTAAGGAAGACCATATGATAGTTTTGCTCTCTGGGGGCTAGGCTGTAGGCAAAACAAAAATCATAGGTCTAATTCAGAACAGGCATCAGTTTTGTAACAAATCTGGGAAGGAGGAAAAGGAAGCATGGATGCAGTGTACCTTGGTATCTTGCAGAAATTACTGCAATGAACAGCAATGAACAGAGAGCTCTTTAAGAAAACTAGAATCTATGTAGAGTCAGGTGTTGGATGCCCCTTAGCACAGGCTTGAAGCCAATGTTTTAGGAAATGTGTCTGTTGCAGCCATCCTGAGCAAAAATGTCCTCTGAATTTCTGCTTCAATGTTCTTGTTCTTTGGCCTTTCTGGACTTAAACATTTATTCCTTGTCTTGCTTTGGCCCTATGAATTAAACATTTTCTTGGATGGGCTACCTGGTAATAGGTGTCTCTTACTAAAACTTTCTTTCCAAATGTTTCTAATGCTGCCCCCTAAACTGTAGTACCCATAAATACCTCAACTGACCACCAAATCCAATATGGACTACTATGTCCCACACCTAGCATTTTAGGCTCCTGCTTAGGTGGAGATAGACCTCAGACTACCTGAAGACATTACTGCTTCCAGTATTTCTCAGAACAAGTGGGACAAGCAGAGAAATTAATTTATTTAAGGAGATATTATTGAACCATTTTGTCCAAGTATTTCTCGATGGCAAGAAGAATGGAATGTACTGGGTAAGAACCATATAAAAAGAAAATGTAATGAATTTAATGTATCTAAAAAAATCATTCCATCCTAAATGGCAAATACTTAAGTGGTACCAGCCAAAGGAATTGTCTCACTCACCCCACCTCAGCCCCCACAATTGAGAAGTATGTTTCTTTTCCCTAAGTAATAATCCTCAGACAATCTTTATGTTTTGTTTGGTTTTGTTCTTGCAGTGCTAGGGTTTGGACTCAAGGCCTATACCTTGAGCCACTCCACCAGCCCTATTTTGTGATGTTTTTTTCCTAGATAAAGTCTCAAGAACTGTTGACCACAGCTGGCTTCGAACTGCTATCCTCCTGATCGCTGCCTCCTGAGTAGCTAGGATTACAGCTACCAATGCCTGGCTCTCTTCAGAAATTCTTCACCTGTAACAAGGGAACAAACAAACAACTTCAATTCTAAAGACCTCTTCTGTGAAATCCTTCCCCAACCCAGGAAAATACACTTCATACTTTCTGCTTTATTATATACCCCAGTCACAGCATTAGTCTCAATCTGCTCTAGTTACTTGTATGTCTGTTTATTTGCAACAACAGATTCTTACTGCCATTGGATGGGTCCTGTCATTGGATGGGTTCTGTCATTGTCACTGTTGGATTTTCAAGCCTCTGCACAATCATTCACCAAATGGCATCGAATGAGTGAAGATGTAAAAGGAGTAGGACGCCATCTTTTATTCTTGAAGATTATTGTGTTGTGTTTTGACTGCCTAAGCAGCTACAGCATAAAACTGAGGGAAAGGAAAAGATTATCAGAATATAGTGTGAGAGGATTGAAAAAGGTTTGACATACACTAAATTGAAATAATTTGAGATGCATTTCCAGATTCCCTTTTATGCTCATTTTTAAATGAAAAACAAAGGGAAAATGGCACCAAGAGGGGATTTTTTTTAGGAGCTTAAAAGTAGTGACCAAGTAAAAGTTTACCTACATTCAAGGAACACTTCCCAGCTCACCTCAGTAGCTGGAAGCAGAGACACGGCTTTACTGATTTTATCTGACACATTCCTTAGCTGGTCTCTGATTCTGAGAAGAGCAGACTGAAGAAGATTACTAGCCTATACCTCTATCCCCTCCTCTTCCATTACTTTCTTGCCAGTGTCTTTTCTTTCTTATTCCATTCTTAGAACAAACTTCATAGCAACATGCTTCCCCAAGAATGGTATATGGTTAATAAAATCAGTCATAAAATAAAAGCTTCTGGGATGGAAATAGTACATTTGTCATTTGAAGCATATTTAATCCAAAAAAAATCAAGAAACACAGGAAGGTAAACCAAAGTCAAACCTTTTCAGTAAACAAAGAAGCCAAAGACAAAATAGAACAGTAACTTGGGCCAAGTACCCACATTGTACTAAGCAAGACTAAGACAAGTCCAGATTTTAACATGGAACTATAATGCAATCACTTCTCCAAGGATTGTCTTTATTTGTTCTCTACTCATTCATATGCTATGTTCATAGCAAAGCCTTTTTCCGGGTCTATGCCCAACAGACAGGCTTTGTAAGTCATTAAGACCACCTCTGGTCTGCCTTAGATGATAAACAGAAGTCTTTCTTACACAACAGTATGACATATAGGAGCAAATCTTTTTCATAAAACTTCTTTGTGGTTCAGAATTAGCAGGATGGTACCTGAAATCGTAGGGCTGTACCTCTTTCATATTTCTAGCAATGCCTAGATGGGCATAACTTACCTAATGCAGATGTATGAGACCATCACAGCAGCCAAGATGAAAAAGCACCACAGTGAGAGGGAAAGAAGAGGAGGGAAGATGAAAAATGATGATGAAAATTAAGATTAGGGAGCACAGAGTCCATGTTGCTCTGCCTACTGGAAAGAGGTCCCTTCCTTCTTCATTTGATGTTCACAAGAGAGCACAGGTTAGAGTCAGAAATTTAATCCTAGAGTTTTCATTTTGCCTTTTGTTCTATACATGTCTTTGGACAATCACTTTAACTCTTTGCTTCTTGGTTCTTCATATTATAAAATGGAGACAGTAATAACACTTGTGTTCTCAAATTCAAAAATACTTTTAAGAATCAAATTAAAATGTTTTTATCAGTTATAAAGTGTAGTTAAATATTAGCTACTGATTTTTCTCTACAACTACTCAGGAAGAAGCCCAGTTGGTGTAGGACCTTCCTCAGTGAGGATTTCACCTCCTTATTCCTGAGGCTATAGATCAAGGGGTTCAGCATGGGAGTGACCAGGTTATTCAGGACCTGAACAGTAGCATTAAGCCAGGGTTTGGGGGTGGGCTGCAGGTAGATGAGGACAACTGGCAGGTAGAAAAGGAGGATGGCAGTTAGGTGAGCACTGCAGGTGGAGAAGGCTTGGTGTCGGCCCTCAGAAGAACGGATCTGCAGGATGGAACAGACAATGCAGCTGTAGGAGGTTAGGATAAGAAGGAAGCAGCTGAGAGGCATGAGGCCAACACTGATGAGCCCCACCATCTCCAAGGTTAATGTATCTGCACAAGCTTGCTTCAGCATCACTGGGATATCACAGAAATAATAGTCCACCTCAGTAGAACCACAGTAAGGCAACTGGAAGGTGAGAGTGGTTAGAAAAGTGGCCTGAATGCCCCCCAAAAATGAGGTCCCCATAGCCAGGATGGCACACACTCTATGGCTCATGATTATCGAGTAGCGTAGAGGGTAACATATAGCAATGAAGCGGTCATAGGCCATCAAGGTGAACAGGAAACCCTCAGTACAACCCAGGAAATGGTAGAAAAAGAGCTGGGACACACAGCCTGAGTAGGAGATGACTGGGCTGTTTCCCATGAGATAGAAGAGCATCTTGGGGGAACTCACAGAAGGGAAAAATATGTCAAAAATAGATAGCTTGCACAGGAAGAAGTACATGGGAGTGTAAATTCGGGTGGAGGAGACAATTGCCAGCATTAAAGCAGGTTCCCCACGAGGGTGAAGATGTAGAAGGACAAAAACATGACAAAGAGCATCGTCTCCAGACCCTCTGTGTGTGGGAAGCCCAGAAGGATAAACTCAGTCACCACCGAGAGATTCCTCATAGTTGTCAGGATATCTGACCTTGGAAGATTCCAGGACACCAAATTCTGTATGCCAATGTCACATTATGAAGATTTTCGCTGATGAACGTTTTGGCTGTGTTTTTTAGAAGCACAAACTTGACTTCTTAAGAAGGGAATGAGCAAGATCATTCTTAGATCATTCTAAGATCATTTCTTAGATAATAAGAAATTATTTCAGGGCTAGTCAACCCAATTCTTAGAAGCAATATTTTGTAAAGGCAAGTGACTGTCTCCTATAACAAGGCCAGAAGTTTAGAGATATATTCAAAACATTCTTCCAATAGATTTATTTTATTTATTTGAATTATTGTGATATCTGTAATTAACAAAGCCCCCCACTATACATTAACCCTCTGCAAAAGAACAGAATAATGTGTTAGAAATCAGAACAAATAATTTGAATCCTGATTATGGAATTATTAGCTAAACTAGTTAAAGTAAATTATACAGTGCATTTCATAAGCATGGTTTTATCACCTATAAAATGAAAAGCAAAATTATAACAGCAATAACATCAGCACAAATGTATCCTGGTATCCCTGTAAAGTGTGGGAAATGTCCGTGAAAGTGGGAAAACTGCAAATTCTAATGAGCACCTTCCTTTACTCTATATATCTTAGTTCTGTAAGTGTATTTGTTTAATGTTGGTATTCTATAATTATTTGAAAGACTTTTTAAAAAATCAAATAATGCATCAAGTATTCTTAGATTATATCCTCTTCAGATTACATCATTACAGACTTGAGAGTGCTAAGGTCCCCAACAAGATGCTGCTCTGGTTCTTCTGCTCCTTTTTATCTATTCTAAGTAGACTTTAGGCAACTCAAAAATATAGCCAAAAGAAACAGTAGCAGTAAGTAAGGTGCCACATTCACATTACTGTGATAAAATGGGAAATCTAGTGACTCATGTACGATAAAGGTAAAGTGCAGCATGAATGAGGTAGGCTATGCAAGTCAAGAAGAGCATACAGGATGGGAATGGAGTTCAGTGGTAGAATGTTTGCCTAGCATGCATGAGGCGCTGAGTTTGACTCTCATTACCACAAAAAATCAAAGAAGAAAAGCATTGGTTTCTGGTAGATACAAAAGCCTCTTTCTTTCATTATTTACTTTGAAATAATGATGGCAATATAATAATAATAACTATTATTATTATACACATAATAACTATTATTATTATACACACATACATGCACAGATATCATTTAACAAAGCTTTACTACATTCCAAGGACTGGATCAATATTTGAAAATATGATTTATTTTTGAAAAAAAATACCTATAAGAAGAAGTTAACTGTTACTATTAACATTCATATCTACAGATAAGAAACTGGAGCTATGGAGTAATAAGAAGTTGCCCAAGTTTGCAAAGCTAACACATGGTAGACCTGCCTCATTCCATTGTCTGTGCTCTGAACCATTAGGGAAATCTGCCATTTCTTTGACTGTGCTTTCTGAGAGATCCTGCTCTCCTCTGGGCAATGACCTTCTTCCAAAGGGTTATTACTGCTGTTTTATACAAAAGTAGAAAAAGTCTTATTGTCATACTCCTTCCTTTTCATTTACACTCTTGACTTTAGAGTTCACTTAAAATCTCACTTAGTTTTAGAGAACATATAGCATGTTTATCCCACCCCTTAGAGATGACATTTGGTGTCAATTCTAACCTGAACTTGAATGTTGTTTAGCCACATTCGACATGAGGTTCCAATCACAAGCTATGACAAGTGCCACTGAAAACTTCTCTAAAGGTAATGACTCAGCCACGAAGAGTCACACAGTACCATCTCAGAATTGGGCAAAGTGAAAAGAGCAAAGAGAGAAACAATGGCATACTAGGGGAGAGAGAAGGATGCAGCCCCTTGACCAACTCTAGTCACACCAGAGTAGTCTGAGCAACTCAAATTCCTGTGAGCTCTTCATCTCCTCTCCTTGTTTAGTAAATGATGCCAGAAGTCTCTAGCTCTTGATTATGTTCAGACACCAGCGTATTCTGATTCCAAATCTCAATTGACTTTTAAGTCCATTTCAGGAAAAGCAAGTCCCTAAGAATCAGGAAGGTCCCCGTGTGTGGACTTATGAGGGGCAGAAGCTAACAGTGAGACACATACAGAAGTTCAAATACTCACACAGTTCACCTGGGAACATGGTGAAGTTTTCCAAAGTATGATAACAAGACATGACATTTACTGTTTCTCAGCAGAGCACAATGTGCTCTAGCCAGAGGGAGCTTCATTTTCCTACTTACAAAGAATCATCTCTCATGAGATTTCTGCAACCAGGATTTGCACACATTTACTCTCTCTGAATTGCTTTCTCAGGACTTTTTTTTCCAATCTTGTTAAGCCCTACTTGGAGCTCAGTGATAGCTCTGGGAGAGCAATTAGATTGTCAGCTTTATTCACCACCCAATTATGAAATAATAGTAATGGTATCATTGGAAAGAGATGCTCTAAATAGAGAAATATGTTCCTTCATGATTGTTTGCACAGTAGAATAGGCTCCAATTGTAACATTAGAGCACTACTTGCAATGCTATCCCCATGTTTAGTTGCCTTTTACATCTTCAGGACTGTGCTTCTGACATTATTCGTCTCATCACTTTAAAATTATTCATCCCTCCATGTGACTATACAATTATCTCTAATAAATTCAAAGCAGAAATTAATCATTTAGTAATGTTTTGCTATGAATATATCCTTAAATAATCATTACTAAAGAGAAAGATTCACAGAGAAGGCCCATTCATAAGAGGATGACCAGAATAAATGGGCTATAAGCCATCACAAAACAAAAATGATCAACTAAATAACTAAATATTTACCAACTAAATATTTAGCTAACCATTCATTTTAAGTACATACCATATGCTAAGTGCTATGCTAAAATTTTAACCTCATTATGCCTTTCATCCTCAAAAGAAATTTTGTGAAGTAGATGGTGCTATTTGACAAAAACTTGAAAAATGCACTTAAATAATGTAAATATTGCACAGCTAGAAAGTAACAGAGCTGAGACTCCACTTTCAAAGTCAATTCTTTTAAGAACTATGTTTTGATGAGTTAGAGATTTTGGTTTTGCACCCAAAGAAGAGGAAGAGGGATAATGTGATTTTCAAATGTTTACAGAGCCTTAATATGAGTTATTCTGTGCAGAGACTCACGAATCTCAGACATATGTGACATATTTATCTTGAAATTAAAAAGGAATTATTAGAAAATATACATTGATGAAATGAGAAACCTTATGGTGTACTTACTTCTTTGTCACTGGAAATATCTAAGAGGATATAAAAAGAATCATCTTTCAGGGTTACCACCAAGGGAAAAAAAGAATATTCTCAATGTGAAGTTCTTCCTCATTTTGATTATTTTATTTTATTCATACCATTAAAAACTTTAATAATATTGATCTAATACAATTAATGTGGAGCTTTAAATTGATAATTTAACTAATCTCTGCAGCATGAGGAATTACAAGTACAACCATAGTAGTTACAAAAGTAGCTATTATAATACTCAGACTGTTGCTGTAACATTTTAAGACAGGAGAAACATGTGCATGGAGGTTGTCCAGGCAGAATCACACAGATCTCACAGGATGGGAGTGGTCTGTTGGGATGTTGTAGTTAGTTCAGTAGAGCACGGTTTTAATAATACCTTACTTTTACTATGAATTTGCTATATACTGGTATTGTGTTGAGGGCTCTGTGTGCATTATCTCTTTCCATTCTAACAATAAAATTATTAGGCAGGTAATGTCTCCCATATTTTTAGGCTCGAAAATTTACTCTCAAAGGGGATAATCATACTTAACAAGGTAACAGTTAAATTAATGACAGAACTATATCTTATATCGGAAATAGTATGTCTCTTTTCTTTGCATAACAAACAAAAACAAGTTCATTACTAATTCTAATTTTCAAATTGTCATTCCTAAGTAATTTCACACAGCATATGTGGTTGCTCTAGTTTCCCAATTACTTTCATGTTGGTTGGATTATTATCTAGAACTGTGTCAGGTGGATCATTTTAACCTCATTTTACAAACAAGGACATTGGAACTCAGAACAATTGTGACTTCCCTAATAGACAGTAGAGAAGTCCAAGCATTCCCAAGCTTAGCTCACTTTCCACTACATCATCATAGTTTCCTAAAACGACTCCATGCAGAAAGCAGCTGTCACTATCGGAGCAGAGAATTATTAATAGATTCATTTTAGAGATTTGGACAAATCTTCTACAAACTTCAAAAATGATAAGCAATACTAGAATTTGATAGCAGGTGCACTACAGTTTTCCATTGAAATAAAACCACGTTTTACAGTCAAGTCCCTTTTCCTAAAACTCATCATGGTAGGATTAAGTTTTTTTTTTTTACAAAATAATTCTAGTCTCATTATACTTGACCTATTTGCTTAACTACAACAAGAATGGAAATTTTATTCATATTTTTAAATATAACATTTCAGTCAATGATTTAGTAATATTCAAGGGGCCTTATTGTCTCCATAAAGTCAACATTAGTATTGCTTTTTAATTGATTTGTGATATGGAATCTCAAATTATCCCTTTAAAAACCCTCTCCTACTTAAGCAGCCAAACCAAGATCTTGCCCAAATATATCTGATTATAGAAAAATTCTTATTAAACTTATGCAAATGCTCATATTATCATGAAGATATGAATACTTAGAGCTTCTTAATTCTGAAAGAATCAGGTAGGGAGTAAAAGATAAATATTTTATTTTTGCTTAAAAAAGTATATTTTATCAAGCTGCAGTTTTCCATAATAGTTCTCATTATTTTTGCCCAGTTCAAAGATGTGAAATAAAGATATCAGTATCCTCTGTGTATTAGTCATTTTTATGAATCTCTTATGAATGTTATCATAGCTGCTGGCAAAAGCTCTCAGGAAAGCATCAGAGTAAAATTACTGCCTGTGAATAACAAAAACGTATAGCTTCCAAGATTAAAA